ACGTACATAGATTTAAATCAGTATACAGCCAACGCCGAAAAAGGTAACGACTCCCCAATCAAGTAAAGGAAAACTAACCTGACAGTTCTATAAACTGAGCCAGGTCCGTAAAGTTACAGGATGACAGATCAGTAAGGTCGGTGCGAAAAGGGGATTCGAAAAGCGGATAAGGCCAGTAGCTTGTTAAGGAAAGTTGTTTAGATCCACAGTTTATAGTTCTTTTTTTTCATTTTCAATCCACCATTTTTATAATCTTCCAATAATCTATAATATTCCAATCCACTATTTTTTCCCACAATATCCTTTTCGGTACTCCTTCGCTTGGTATACTACGACATCTCTGTCACCGAATATACTATGATTTCACAAATTCAATATTATTTTATTTTGTTCTTAACTTTGTGTTTCTCAGTAACATCCAATCCCCTTCAAGACTGAATCAAAAATTCTGTTAAATATACAGTTTTCAAACAACAATACGTTAATAAACACAGACCTGGTTTTTTGCTGTCTCTTTTAGAATGATATGCAATGCTTGGTAAATAATATACAATCTTAGAGTGATATACAATGCTCTTTAAAAATACGTAGCTCCGAAACACAGATCCTCTGGTTCTAGAAATAGAAATCACTTGGCATTGCAGAGTTAAAAAGCATCTATCGAACGTAGGTATTACTAGTGACGATAGCTGCAGATTTTGTAACGAAGAAGAGGAAGCAGCAGAACACAGTCTGTGTCACTGCAATAGTCTCGCAGATTCAGATTTCGGTACTTATCAACTGTCTATTCACTTATAACGAAATTAGGCAACATCTCTTAACTTCTACTCATATATGGAACTAATATGGGTGTGTCACAATAATCCTCAAAGGATGCAGTTCCCAACCCTTTTTAAATCTAATAATATAATAAATCTCTAGTACTGTAAAGCTAAAGAAAAGAAACAAAAGAGATGTGTACAAAAACTCTGAGTCCTGGTACTGTTTCTTGCCCGTCATGTATTTTAAACCCTTGCAGAGTTGTAAGCTGTCAAGGCGCAGAGAAGTGCTTTGACTTTGAATAGTGCTTTTTTGGAGCATTATTTTCGGCGGTATATTTAAAATGTGTTCACATCGTCGTGCCGTGAAGTTATGTCTGATGCAACCACAGTTCTTTTCTTCATTATTATAGTAATTATAACTATAAGATTATTTTACTAACTTGTGTTAATATTAGTTTATATGTTACTAACTTTTGTTCAATAAAATAGGTATCAGTAGTATTAGTAATCTGATTCTCATTAAAACTTTCTCTTCTAAAGTGATATTAAGCATATACAATATATATATACATATTAATATACTTTTTAAGAAAATTGACAGATTTACCAACACCGCATTATTAAATCTCAGAATGATTACAGGATCTTCGGGGTGGTATACAGATCTGAGGTCAATTATTGCTTAGTCTGATGAAGTGATAAACAATAATCCAGTCAAGGCGTAAAGAGGGATTTTGAAAATACCTCGAGTTAAGAAAGAGTAAAAGTGCTCAACTGCACTGGGTATTTGATCCAGTGCAATATTCTGGTGATCATCAAAAGCGTGAAATAAAGGTTTCTTACGAAAAGATAGAAAAGAATCTGTTATTTGTGATTTGTAATTTATAAAGCTGAGTGAATTTATTATTTAAATTTAAGTGAATTATTTTTTAAAAATATTTTTTAAAAATTTAATGAATTAACTTTGTGTTCATTCAAATGTTATACGCCGTTGCTGAAGTTCGACAGCTTCATCCGGTGTTGGCGCATTGCACACTTTGCATTTCAGATGATTTTTTTGCTCGTTAACCGCTGTTAACTTGGTCGAAATTTGTTAAGTAGCACCCACACACTAACACTTATACACACTCATACGAATTACATATTGAATTTGTTATTGTTTTTTCTGTTCATATTCACGTAGGCCAGTACCCGTGATTAAGTTAGTTATTAATGGCGGTAGTAGGTGCAGTGGGTGTTAATCGACTTATTACAAATTTAATTGCAAGTAGACATTCTTTTTTATCAAGTTTTTCACTCTTTTCTTAAAATTTATTTATTCAATAATAAGTAATGTTTGTTGTAGGAGTGATAAGCGTTTCTAAAATAATCAATTACTCTTAAATCTAAAAATAATATATTTACCATACTCTTTTTATATCTTTTCGTACACAGCCATACTGAATTCGGCTAGTCTGAACCTTGAGGATCCCACAATACTTTCTATACTAAAGCAAACTAAAATAAAAATTTCAATGTTCAATTAATTATTATATAAAGTAATAACTACATTAAATCCAAAAAAGACAAATTTTTATAATGAGAAAAAAAAAATAACAACTAAACTTATGTATATTCTGTAACGATCAAGGACCATTCTCTTACGGAGTATGGCATAAGGTACTCAATATTGTATCGGAGTACAATATCATGTAGCATGTATCAATCTGTGATACGGATATACTGACAAAACGATCGCAATAGTTTTTGATAATCAGGCTACGGGTTTTGGGTTAAATTTAATCAATTCTAAATTACCATCTCACATGTCAGTGATCTTCTTTAGCTAGAAGAAATTAAAAAATCTTCGGATCCCCTTTTCTCACCGACCTGACTAAGTTGTCATCATGTAATGTTAGGGACCTGGCCAAGTTTATAGAACTGTCAGGTTGGTTTTCCTTTACTTTATATACTGATACTGATTTAAATCTATGTACGTACCAAAGGTATGGGCCTATGGTACCACAATGGACCTTCATTTAAGATCGGGTGAGCTTTTTGGAAACAAGGCCGCTACTCCAATCTACCTACCTAAATTGCTTAAAGACACATTGAGAATTTTTAATAAGTTAGTATCATAATCGTATAACGTGTAAAAATATAAATTTAGATTCAAACATTTCAATACACATAAACTTAGTCAGGAACCACTACAGCAATGGGGAACTGACCAATTTTTTTAATATAATTTTTTATTTACGAATACAATATTTAGAAATAGTAAAAACTTAGTCCAAAACATTACTTTCAAATATGCAAGTATACTATAGTTTACCAGATAGAATTTTTAGATGATATACTTGTATAATGGCTCGGGACTTTGATAAACTGCAATGTGCACTCAAAATCAAAGCATTCGTTTATCCGAACAAAAGGTCAAAAAGTTTAGTTTTAACAAGTTAAAGATATAGCGTAATGCGAAGTTCATATTATCAAATCATATCGCATCATCACGTCTTAATCATCAATATCTATTTCTTTTTCATATATATAAGATATTTTAAATATATCCATATGTTTTCTTAGGATAATTAATTATCAAATTAAAAATAATCTAATTAAACTTATTGTTGAATGTTTATATCTATCAATATATATTTGTGAATATAAAAACTCAGCATAATCAAATCTGACTAAGATTATCAACATTTAATACAATTATAACTGAAAAGATTAAAACCATAAAGCGGACAGTCTGGTCTTAAAATCAAGTTAGCATTACTTTGTGCTGCAAACAAGCACATTTGTATACAATATATAGCACTTTTTTTATATTTCATTCGATAATTACTATATAAATAGAAGAATGCTGTAGTGTGACATACGTTAAATACATTTTATTTTAATATAGTTTATCACATTTGTAATGATTAAACAGAACACACCTCATGACTGTAGAATGAATGTTAGTCTTATTTTAAGAAATATAAATCAATGAAAACAAAAATATATGTTAACAATAAATTAATATATTAATAAATAATTATTTCATTGGTTTAATGTATTAATATTTAGTAACAGGCTACTTTCTCTAACTTTCTATGCAGTGATTTTAGATTTCTTTGAGTTTATAGCTTCAAAGTTCCAAATTGAATACGTACATTAGAGTATAACAATTTTTTTTAAAAAAAACATATGTCTTATCCGTCACTTTATATCTTAATCGGAACAGATATAAATAAAATTGTATATATATTTTTTCGTATTAATGAGTCATTCTTTCACAAACCGGACACCTCATCATCTTAGTTTTGGCTGAAATTTTCTTTATGAGCTTCCTACATAAAATAAGAAGAAATTAGAATCTATTAATTCTACGAATTCGGAAATTATACTGTTTACACTTAAACTTATTAAACCTTTTAGGATTTCTTTATGGATTTAATATGAATTTTATGTAAAAAAAAAAATTACAAAAATTTAAATTCAAACCAAAACAGCTGATTCACATATCAACACAAATTTTACGTGAAATAAAACGGTACCAATAAAGCCTTTGTAGCATTTTCAAATTTCGACAGAGATTTTATGCTCTTCAAAGATGCTTTTATTTACTCGAAAATTTGCTGGTGTATACACACAGTGTTATACGGTATTTACACTGGCCGAAAATGTCTCATTTTGGTCAAAAATCGAAAATGAGACAAATTCTCAAGCGCGAATCCTTTTCATCACATTCTGTATGAATGCGTCCCAACGACGTTCAAATGCATTCCAAATATGTTCCAAATACAAAGGACTACATTGAGCATACCCTAAATAAAAGCTCTTCATGGCATTTTGACAATTTGAGAAAGCTGTTTTTGACATATTTACAAAAAAAGATAAACAAATGTTTGGTGGTTTTAAGTTTATAAGTTTAAGTTTATATTGTAAGGTTTGAAGGCATATTTAACCTTCATGCAACATTTTTTTGGCACAAGCCAAAAATCAAATCAACAGGCAAGTTGTAAAATCAGCTGTTTGAAATGAGAACAAATGAAATACAACGAATGTAAACACTTTCAAATGGCTCATTCAAAATGACCTATTACTCGTTACTATTACTCGTTACTACGAGTAGCTCGTGGACCTATTATTGATTTAAAAGCACTGGTGTAAAAAACTGGAGCAAAAAATGTCTACAATTTTGATACTTTAGGTTGCCGCAAGTAGCAACCCTGGTAATTTTAAATGTCACAAATTTTAAATTGCTAAAATGTAGGAAGATTACTTTGAATAAAAAGTTTACTTTGAATTAAAGCAGAAACATTGTACGACATGGCGCTTAATAAGAAACCAATTCTCTCCAAAAATCTTTTGGAGATGAAATTTGTGAAAAAAACTAAAAAAAAATTGGAGAAAGAAGCGAAAATAGCAGAGGTGAAGTCAATGTATTCTAACGATGTTGGTTACAAGGTTCTCGGTGAATCAAAATTTTATTATGAAAGATGTTTTAATAATCTTGAAGACCTCAATGAGGGTAGAATGAGTTTTAATGGCATGAATCCGGAAATTGAAGCTTTAATGAAAGCTGATGAAGCTGAAAAAAAACTCAAGACTGATTTTAAACGGCCCACGGATGTATCTAATATTAAGATGACTTCAAACTATAATAAACACCGATTATTTAAGCCGGTTAAGTATAAGCAGAGAAAGTAAACTTATTTAATCAAAAAGAAAACCAACAAATAAAAACATTTGTAAGTTAGACGGTATATATAGTAATTTTTTAGTATATTTAATTAAAAGTAATGTTTAATAAAAGAAACAAATTTTCAGATTCTTCATATAACGTATTAAATCTAAAACGGAACTCATTCCTACTTACTATGCGATCATAATCAACTGAAATGAAATCAAAATATTGAAACCTATTTAAAAACAAGAAGAGTTTAGAAAATGGATTCTATTTAACACTACTATAATAATGCAATTTTTAATTTTATTAAATTTTAGAAATATAAAATAAATTTTTTGTTAGTCAGAAACGTGAAATTTGTTGTATTAAAATAATCGTGTTTCAAAGAAAATAACGATCGCAATTCCATTATTTTTTGGTGTGAGGAGGCGGAATGCTTTATGCACCGTCAAACCGACCCTCGTCGGCATGGTGTGCGCGACTCCCTAACATTAATATGTAGTATACGAACTAAAACACCCCCTCTTCAGCGAGACTTACTCCCCCTCGGAACCACTTTCGCATTACTTCGAGGAGGGTCTCTTATTTGTCTCTTGTAATTTTCGATCTGCGTCCAGGTCACCACTTTCTTCCCAATTCCATTATTAGATCCCAATAATGTATAAATATAACCGGTTTTGATGGTATCATCTGATTCATATCTGAACTTCATCTAATCCAAATGTAATTAGCATAGGCATACTATTTGTGATCTATAAAATAATTTTTAAAGTGAAACCAACCAATAATTGCAATATAAAGCTTTGCTTTAGATAGAAAGCATCGAAAACCAAACCCGCTAAAACCATTCCTTAGGAATGGTTATGGAAATTTGCAGCTACATTCTGCGATTGTAACCCAATTCCAATAATGAAGGGCAGAGAGGAAAACAGATGGCTATAGCAAGTTAATTTTATCAAAGCCAGACAACATAACCGAGCTCACTTAGGAAGGATGGTGCTTATAAGCGAAGGAGGTGGAGTTGGTGCACACTTGCGGCGTGTCCAGCTTAAAAAAGCTTTGCTTAAAAAATCGAGAAAATATTAGGAAATTCTCTAGTACAGTGGAGCCTTTCTATCATACAGATGAAGGTGATAATATAAATTTTAAAAGATTTATATTTGTTTTGTTTGTTTTTCTTATTAAAATGCGGTTACTTTCTATTCAACATGTGATATACTATATATTCTATATTTTTTTACAGTTTCAATAGATTTCAATATTTTGTTCAAAATTATTAGGATTTGAGCTAAAATCGTAAACGGAAAGTTAAGAGAAGAAATTCGGTGAAATTTGAAATAAATTTTTGAAATAAAATTCATTGCGAAATACAAGATTCGATGTGTCTAGAAAGACGTCGATTGAATCATCTTAATTAATTTGCGATACTTTTTTTGGACATTGTCGCCATTTGTGTTGACTTGACGTGGGTGCAACAATATCAGTTCCAAATTAAGTAAATGTGCGCCACAGTCACAGATGAAACTGGCTCGGCATAAGATTCACATGATAAGCTAATAATACCAGGGAATGAGTTGCTAACGTTACGAATCCATTAAAAGATCCATATTGGGAAAATTTTTAATTTTTCTTATACGCAGAAAAACATTAGTTTCAAAGCGTGAGACAAAAAGCAAATAAAGTTCACCAAGAAAAAAATATAAATGGAGGATTAACAAAAAAAAACGAAAACAATAAATAAATAAATTTTAAATTAAATTTTATTTTGCAATAAAAAATTTACTAAATAAATGTTTTTGCTTTCAATTGGGCAGACAATAAACGATAAATTCTTACAAATAAGGGCAGCCAAAATGGGTGTGGGCGCGGTCATAAACGACAAAAACAAAATTATTGCGGATGTGAATTAGATTATTTGTCTCAGTTTAGCAACAAATTTAGCTTTCTTCAATCGAAAAATTATGTAATTCAAAAAGAATAATTTATTTTCTACATATAAAAATATATTTGAAAGTTCTTTAAAAGCTATATGGAACCTTTTTGAATTAAGCAGAAAACAAAGTCTTAATGGAATAGACATAAAATGGCAGTAGTGATATAAAAAACAATACATATAACACATTCAGTATGTAAATCCCATTTTTCATAGTGTAGGTCTTAACAAGACATACACTAAAACAAAACTCCTCATTAGAAATCCAATTGAATCAATCAAAAATTTTTAGAGCGGTAATCTTCGG